ACTATCACAGAAAATTTCCAGAAGTAGTGCATGTTTTTTGCTGATGAGTTTAAAGACACTTATCTAGATCATGAGCCTAATCACTTCCATAGATTCACATTACTGATTTAGTTATGGCCATGCCTCTTTTGAGATGGGAAAATCTTACTCCTAAACAGATTATTGGCAAATGTCATTCATTTAAGTTTTCAATTCTAGGTTTGCCTGTTTCCCACAGATGCATACCACCTGTCAATCTGCTATTATTATGTAGTTAATGTTTAGAAACTTTTTAGTGTCAGTGCCATATTAAGTGTGCTGCCACACAAGTTTACAGTTGGCAGACTTTTACAAAAGCTGCAAAACAGTTTCAAGTTTTGTCATCAGCAAAATCCTGGGCTGTGGGGTTGAGAAGACAGTACAAAAGTTCACAGTGACATTAGCTTTTTTTTTGAGTGGCTATGTTGGAAAGACAACCAGCTGATCAGATATTTACTGTTAGGTGATGTACTTGGACTTATAACTTTATATAATTTTTTTAATCTTTGTTGAGTTTTAATGATCTTTAGCAGCTGGCTAGTTCAAGTGGTAGGTCGAAAAGGAAGCCTGCGTTCGGACTGCCACTCTGGGTGCCTAAGCAAGACCCTTAACCCGTACTGCTCCCTGGGCACCGCACAGTGGCAGCCCACTGCTCCCCAAGGGGGCGGATTAAATGCAGGGAGTTAATTTCTTTGCTCTGTACTTGTGACAGTGTAATGACGATAAAACGCTGGGGAAAAAAACCCCATAAACGTATGCACTTATGTACTTTTGGCAATGGCCTCTTTAATAGCTTTGTCTGGAAGAAACATGGTAAAGATATAATTGTTGGAGTAAATACTCTACGCTAAATGAACATAGAGACCATTGGTAACTGGCAGCCATAAAGTTTGATGGTTCCCAGTAAAGCAAGGCAGCCAAACCAGCCGTTAATAAGAACTGGATTAGCTGGTATACCTACTGTATTAAATTATGCAACATATTCACTCTTGTAGTAGGGAAGTACGGCTACCTGTAGCTAAAAATATTTACGTGTATATTACTGCATGACATGTTATCTAATTATTGCTTCATTGTCATTGATAATACCCAGCATTAGGCTGTGTAGCCAATACAGTGAAAGTTCCTGCGTGGTCGATATGATGTGTACCATTAAGCGAGACGAGGATAGCTCTGTAGCCTAGATTTCTCAAAGACAGTTTTTTTTTGTTATGCACACTTTGTTGGGGTAAAGAGGACCATAAACATCAAGTTAATCATAGGCACAGTTTATTAACTGCTTTGTGTTGCATTTACATTTTATTGGTTTGTATAATGCAAAAAGCTTCAAACTTTGTGGTGATCAGACTGTTAATATTTCGCCACTTTATGAAAAGATATGTATGTATACCATATAACTATAATATACGCACGAGTTACTACAAACATAATTTTATCCACAATAACTGGAGTCCTATCTAAAATCAAATATTTAACCGCAGCAGAGAGAGCACCCTGCCTGATAAGTAGTTTTGTTTGTTCAGCACAGATTGCGTTTGTAGCTGCAGATAAGCTATCTCAAATTACACATTACACTCAACAGTAGCTATCTGCTTCACTTTGAGGAACAATAATCATGATTGCTTTATGATTTAACCAAGAGCACATCATAGCATAAGTTATTTGCTCCTTTAATGCGTTGCATTCAGTTGCACTTGCAGCCTTTTTTAACTAATGTGATGACTAAACAATGGCTGCTATGTCCATTTATATGTCATATATTTGCTAAACTACTTTAGTCAGAAGCATTTTTATGAACTCTCCTATATTTGTCTGTAATTGGAAGCTGTGTGCTTGAGCCATGTCTGGTTTTAGAATCAGATGGCCTTTATTTTAAAGGCTAAAAAAGGTCAATATCTAGTGAGTGGCATTGGGCGAGTAATGGGCTTAGATTGAGCTGAGCTGCTCTGTTGCTGTTAGTGATGGCATATAGACTAAACCTTTCTGGCTGTCTGGTGTTCAGACTCCTACTGGGCGCCAGTATCAAACAGGTTATTTCAAGAGGACTCCACAGCGCAGCAAATCCCTAGAAATGGTTGTCAGTCATAGAAGGATAGGTCTAGTAAAATTTCTTGCCACCTTTATATCATGCAATGTTGAGTCACTAGTAGTGCTTTACTTGCTCCATTAAGTGAAAGAGATTAAATTAATTGTCCGTCATATTTTAATTAGTTAGAAATAAACAGTGGTTTGTTTCTAACCTTAGTGGGGTTCATTTGTGTAGATTGGATGTCTGCAATTGCAGACCAAGTCAACCTTACAGAGACCAGGCTGACCAAGCTCTAGAGCAGTTTGTTTATTGTGTGAATGTGATGTGAGCTCTATTCGGCACTGCTAAAAGGTGTATGCTTTGAGTATGACCAAGTAATTAAACTCTGGATATGAAAACACGCTATATGATATAGGTATAGACAATGGAATGCATGCACTTCATGTGAAGGGATACTGAATTGACTAATGAATCATCAATCTCTCTTGTATCAGCCGATACAAGAGAGAAAAAAAGGAAACATTTGCCAAAAACTATCTGCCAAGGACCAATCAAGGAACAGTCAAGGAAAGTGGGGAAATTCTGAATGGCTACCACTCTAGGGTTAGTTTTATGATGGTTAGGGCAGTTTTTTTCAAACCTGGTCCTCAAGGCACACTGCTCTGCATGTTTTGGATGTTTCTGAGTTTCAGCACACCTGATTCAGATGATTGCAGTTCAGCAAAGCCTGATAATCTATCAATTGATAACAGGTGTGTGAAAGCTGGGAAACATCTAAAACATGCAGGGCAGTGTGCCTTGAGGACCATGGTTGAAAAACACTGGGTTAGGGCATAGAAAGGGTTGATAATGAAGGGCATAGAAAGGGTTGATATGACTGAAAATCAATGGGAGTCAACACATCAAATTATATATATCGTCACTGTAAAAACTAAAACGTGGCAGAGTTGCCTTACCTTTAAAGGGGCTTATCAGCTAGGACTCAGACAGAGCGTATGTTACTTATCTTGTCATTGCACAGTGTGTTTTTAGATATCTTGAGACTGTAGATTCTACCCACCCATCCAGCGCGGCCCTTTAACGAATAACATCATTTTTGTTTTGGCACAGAACCACTTGACGATTGGTTTTATTTCTGCCATGTAGAGGTAGGGAAACCAGTCAGTACTAAGCACTCTTTGCTAAACTATTATCCCTAACCATGTGCATTTCTGCAGCTCGTATAACTGAATATTTGTTGGTTCTTAACAGCACCTGCTCTGTCTGGAAATTACTGTTTGGGTGTCAAAGCAAATTGGCACAGAATATGAGCAAAGGGACATCCAGGCAGTGGGCCAGAACAGATGGCAATGAGTTTCATATACAACAAAACACAGTAGCAGACAGGGGTGGAGGTCACACTTCTGTCTAGTAATAAAGGGATTCCTGGCAAGTGATCTGACCCCATCAGCAGCAGCTGATTTTTTTTTTTTATTATGTGTGAATTTGGGTCCTTGGAGATGAAATAAAAACTCAGCAATGAGATGAAAATTAAAGAGAACAATGATCAGCTTCTATGAGCTGGTGACCAAAAATCCACGATTCACCTGATTTATTTAGGATTAGATTATTCAAGCTTGAAATACCTAAATCGCTAAATATTTTTCACCCTTTCAATCACTGTGTTGTATTTTTATTGTATTGAACAATACGCGGCTTTAGTAAATAATCAAGTATTGCCTTTTTATGCAGCTGAAACTGTGACATACATAGTGGGTTTTATTTTTTAAGAAACTTTGTGTAACTTTTGATCCAATTATTAATTTAGTTTGAGATGTATTGGATTTTTCAAGTCGATATAGAGCATTTGGTGTGTATTAGTGGTCTAATGTGGTTCGCTATCAGATTTCAAAATTTTGTGACAGTGAGTTTTGCCAGTAGCTTTTAGGGGCCTAAACCTGGAGGTCACAGGTCTACTGCCCCTAGCTGCTAAAAATTACACTGTCTTGCTATAAATATTTATAGATAAAAATACATTTTGACACTGTTATCTTGGTTATAAATAAAATTTTTCATTTTTACCAATACTAGTAGTACCCTAAGTATTATAAATCTGGATCACCTAACCTGGGAAGCCTCATGGATGATAATTAAACCATTAAACTTTCTGCTCTAGATGTAATGCCATGCTGGATAAGTTACTTACTCCATTATGAAGCAGTATAAATATTTCTTTCATTTTACATCATAATATTTCACACATCAAAGAAATAAATGGCATGCCAAAGTTTTAACAAGCTATTCCAAAAGAGATGCAACAAGCTTTACAATGTCTATTGATTACTGATAATAGGAAAATGAGAACATGATATCCATGATGCAGAGAATGGACTGGAAGTGGCTGCTGCAAATGAATAAAATTGACAAATTAGATCCATTTACATTCATTTACATGACAGTTTTCATACCTTTTCAACTTTGGTTGTTTTCACCAAAGAAATTTAAGTAATAGAAGTCCTTTATCTCTCTGCTGCATCAGTAGTAAAGTTTTTACACAACCCAGTAGATATCACCCAGTCAGCCTCCACTCATCTCCATTAAAGTTGCACTAAACGCCATATTGCAGAATCTCTAACTTGGGGTTTTAAGGCAAAAAAATATATATATATTTTGTTCAATTAAAATGTACCAAAAATGAATCATTTGTAACACCTTTTTAGTCCGTTTATTTTTTTTATAAAGACCAGATAGCGATAAGTCGCTTAAGGCGCTTTGTTGCTGCATCTGAAGTTTATCTTGTTAAATTATACTTTTCATCTGTTTTTTTTTTTTTTTTTAATATAGCTGTTTAGCATCCGATAAGCGGTCCTGCACAGTGCTTTTGACTCTTCTGATTTCTTTCTGATTTCTTTCCTGTAATAAAGGTATAATGTTTAATAAATCGTTGTCTTGTTTGTTGTTTTTTTTTCCATAGGCTGTGCAGCCTCACCTTGAAGAAGCTGGTTGTCCTCAAAGAACTGGATAAAGAACTGAACTCACTTTCTATAGCTGTCAAAATACAGGTTAGTAACTTAACCTCATACATTTGGGTTCAGTTTCTTGGATTTCAGCCTGAACTCTGTGCGTTTCTTCTCTACTGTATATTGTTTGCCTTGCAGCCGATAAAGCATTCATCTAATCCCGCTCCTCAATAAAACCCTCCTTAGCAGCGCCGAAAGCCCCAGTGCCTTACATCCACTCAGGTGGCAGACCGGCTTACCCCACTAAGCAGTAGCATTAGCACCTTTAAGACGGATTGTGCATCTTGCATTGATTGCTTGTGCTTACATGTTGCAGAGTCTCGATGTTTGCAACATTTATCCTAAAAAACTTAAGATACTGATCGCTCTAAATTATGAGCCAGAGTTTGCAGCACCAATAACTGCACACAAGATAAACCACAATTGCTCCAGCTTTACTTTTTACCATGACTCCACCTGATGTTGTTTATAACATGCATGTTTTAGTGGAAATGTTTAATTCTTTGTAACCTTTTTAATGACAAATGATGTCACACTTACTAAGAAAACATTGAGTTCTGTTTTGAGACAGAAAATGTACTGTAGGGTTGTTGACATGAATTGCTCTTGACAAACAGAAGCCTGATGTCTACTATGCAGCAGCTCAGGCCGTCATAAGGACACAGAGCGCTGTCTAATGAACAAGAGAAACGTTTTTTTTTTTTATCCCTTTTTTGTAAAATACATCCTCTTCTAAATGCTAACCTTAATGTGTGCATTCATAAGTTCTCCAATGCATCTCTGTATGCCTTTCAGTGCATCCACTGTCCAACTTCACTGAAATTATCAGACAAATGGACTAAAAATATGTCATGTGTGCAATTTGGAATATTATGATTGGATCCAGTAATGATTTGAATAAAATTGTGATCCCAGTAACTGAAGTAGACAATCCTATCTGCATGCATGTAAACACTTGAAAAGATGAAATTATTCTGAATGAGGCAAACTGACCTAATTTTGTGCACCCATATCAGCGTGACGTGCCTCTGCCTTAAGACTTGGATCTCGGATAGGGTTGGGAATTGATAAGATTTTCGCGATTCTGATTCTTTTAATATACATAACTGATGAGGCTCCACAAAGCCTCCTTCAACCTCCGGTGTGGATACAGGTGAAAAGGCCTCCACCTCAAAGAATCTATGCTATGACTCTCAGCATCCCTCTGCTTACTGTCAATGCTTCAACAAGGCTAGGCTAAACTGGCTTTTGCCTTTATTGTCCTCATCCTCGAACTTGAAATAAAATTCTGTGGACATAAGTAAAGAGAGTCTACCAGCCTGTCATTTAATCTCGATATTAAAACAGTGGGTGGCTCTGTGAATGGCTCAGTGTATTTGGAGAATATCTATAAAGAGATTACATCACAAAGACTTAGAAATACAGACAGTTCAGAGCTAGAGTTTTGGAGAAATATAAACCTGGCAGAACTGCACACCTATCAAGACCTGGCTGTTCGCCTAAGCTGACAGGCCAGGCAAAGAGATAATTATTCATAGAAGCTGCCAAGAAACTCTTTGGAGAAGCTGGAGGAATCCACAGCTCTGAAGAGACGATCTGTTGACAGGACAGGGGACATGTTAAGAATATACTCTAGCCAGATGACAAATGAGATCAAAATTTCACATTTTCTACTTCCTGTAATCTAGATGTTTGTCTTCACACTGAAAACACAGTCTCCATGGTGTGAAACAGTGGTGGAAAAACTCAGGTTTAGGAATGCTTTTCTACAAGCGACACTGGTGAAGGTTAATGCAAGATGATGGAGCTAAACATAGGGAAGTCTCTGAAATACTAGCTAAAGTGTGCATACAAGGACATACATCACTTTGAATTGGTCATTAAGTTGGCACTTAATGCCATGCCTGAAAAGTGCTAATTTCAGATAGCATGGCTTGCTAAGAGTAGCTATGAAAGGATCAAGTCA